ATATTTTAACTAATCCTCATAATCTATCTAAAAATAATGATGTAGGGTTAAAATATAACAAATATCTAAAAAAATGATAAGATATATTATTAATGGATGATACTTTTAGAGTCACATTGTATCCAATTTTCTTTCTTCTTGCTTTTGATAGAATGAGGGTTTGTGACTATATATATAAATTGACTCACAAACCTGATTTATAGTTAATGCCAAATTATGGCAGCATAACTGCCTATCCTAGACAAATTATTTAGTATTTAATTACTTACATAGTCATATTATAGATTTAAATGTATTTTATTAATTTCATTTCATAATCTAATTTCATTAAATTGGAAATTATTATTTATGATATTTCCAATATCATAAATATTTTCCAATTTAATCTAATTTCAACACAAAAAAAAACAAATATGACAAGAGAAATGATTTTCTATACGTAATCTATATTCATTGAAAAAAATTATACAGCTAGATAGAATTGTCTCATTACCAATTAAAATCTTGGCATATAATTTTCTCAGAAAGGCATGTAAATAATTACAATTGTGGTCCTATTACATGCCAAGTAATCACTACTCCAGTACCCTATAAAAACACTAACAGGATTATTGTGTTCAGAATTTTCAATGTACCTGTTGTTTATAGGTCTTTGAATGTTAGACATGCTTGTATGATGCAGTCAAACATGTTATGCACAGCTGACAAAGTTTTAGAAAGACTATTTCATCAAGCTGATGGAAGCAGATCGTCATTTTGCGAAATTTCTCACCATTTGACCATTCTAGCCTGATTGTAAGCAGGTATTAGAGGCAGCGAATACAACATGGTATACATGCATAGTGATCAAGTTCCAGATACTCTAAACAGATCACCAGGAGAGAACATCATCAGGACATCAGGAGAGATCATCATCTGATCATGTATGAATAAAACACACTTTTAATAATCCAGCAAATAAAAAAAAAGTTATATATAACGAATATATATATAAGTATATCTGATCATGTCTCATAAGACAAGCACAAATAGTTGCAATGGAATCTTTGTTTACCAATACACAGGAACAGATGGAAGCCTTACTACAGAACCCTACTTTTCTTTTGCCATTGGCAAGTAACTTGCAGAGGCCAATTTGCATGCAAGACAATCATTATATGGTTTGCCATTAGCACCTCAATGTTATTGGTTTTATTTAAAGTGATAAAACCACAACAGAGAAGCATGGGCTGGCAACATATTATCTTTAGTAATAAATTCTGGTTCTGTTTGGAAATGAACTATTATCATTTTAGAGTATGTATGACCACTGGTAAGTACTTCAATGTCACCTTTGGGGTCATTCAAATATGACCTCCATACTAGGAAGGAGAATATGTAAAAATTTATATGACACTGAGACAAAGGGCGAAAATGTTAATAGAATGATGATATCCTAAAGGTTCATAAAAATTTTCTTATCTGGAATAATTTTATTATCAAAATCATTGTGCAGAACTTTTTTTTTTTGATCAATGATCACACAACAAGTTCTTGATTATTTAAATAGCTGCACTTTAGTAGAAGCACTTTACGAAACATAATCTGTTGTAAGTTCCTCATAATCTGTTGCAACTGCCCTTTTGGTAATGTCAGGATTGACTCCTATCGACTTAGAAATTAAATGCATTATTTGGCAGGAAAATCTTGTCACCTTACCTTGGTGAGATTACAGAGACTCAGATGTCGACAAAATGATTAGAATAGATAAGATTCCCCCAGTTTGACCTTGATCGATGATATCAAAAAATTCAGCATCAACAAAAATACCCTCCCATCAGCTTGTCCTCAACGTTTACTTCAAACATCCAGGTGATTATCCCATGTTTAGGATTTACATTGATGGTTCCAAGATGGGTAACAATGTGGGTGCTGCTTTTGTAGTTTACTCTAACTTAGGCCATACGTGAGCTTCACAAACTCACTTCGTAAACTTTCAGGTGAGTTTAAGAATTTCAAAACAGCACTTCTAACATCAAAAGTTTGACTTTATTCACTTAATTTACCATTACATATGCATTTTGGAATGATGTATAATTTCATTCCCTCTTCAATGATATTTTTACATACATCAATATATTATATATCATACATCATTCATATTTTAAAGCATGATAGTATACTTTAAAAAATCATGTATCCACTATGTAAAAAATAATATTTATATTATACTGTTATTGAACAAAATTAAATAAACATAATTACTTACATTTAACAGTCATTATTTCATACTATAAACTGTTTTACAGATATTTCACATAAATAGAAAAATATTTTACTTTATTATTATAATGATGCTTCTTTACTTTAATGTTATGCCTTCTATTATGTCATATACTTTATTAATTTGCATACCTTCTGATATGTTATCCAAATTAAAAACATTATAAAAATGAAAATTTGATTGTGTTCTTTAAATTTACATTTATATCTTTAATTAAATGTAAGTAATTAGGTTTATTTAGTGTTATTGAACAAAATTAAATATAAATGTTATTTTTTTACATAGTATATATATTTAACATTATAGATTAAAAAACTCATTAAAAAATTCCTTTAAGTATATGATCAGGAAGTATATGAATTTAAAAAATTATATGAAAATATTATTTTTAATAAGTACTGATTCCATTATTGTGTTAAAATATGAATAATGTATGATATATAGTATACTGACTTCTTATGTAGAAATATCACTGAAGAGGGAACGAAAGTACAGTATACATTGTTCTGAAATGCATACATAACAGTAAATTAAAATATAATAAAGTCATTGTCAAGTGAAACATTTCAATATTACAAGTGCTGTTTTGAAATTCTCAAACTTACCTGAAAGTTTATAGAATAAAGAAAAAGCAATATATTGAATTTACTATTTTTGAAACATACTAATATTAACTTTTACTGATTTTTCAGACTGGTTTCCATCCCTGTCATTATGTTTGCACTAATAAAGTTTCATTTGATTTCAATGTCTCCTTCTTGGTATATAAAACTTAATGTATGGCAACAATTCAACTAACTATTCATTTTTCACTTTTCAAGAGCATACTGACAAATATGTTTAAAACTTTTGATAAATAAATTTATAAAACAACATTTTATAAGTGAATTACAATCTCATTCTTTCATAAAATCATTGGGCATTAGTTAACTTTTACAATAATGAATGACAATAAACTATTATAACAGATGTGTTAATCCTTTCAATCAAAATGTATTATTTACAAAATAAGAAATCTCAGTATTCTTTTTAAATAACTTCAATTACTTGTTTATACATGTTTATCTTAAGAAAATTGGCCATTGATTCATATTTATACAGTAATATTTTGTTACAATTGAGCTAGTATTTTGTAAAATTCAAAAAATTGAATTCATCTAACCACTATAAATCAGATTAATGGGATTTTTAATAAAATAAACATAAAATATTTATAAAATGTCTGTTTTATAAAATTATTCAATTATTAAAAAAATATTATAATATATTGTTTGTGACAGTGATGATTAGAGATAAATAAAATGTAGAAAGTGAACAGAGTATTGAAATGTGTTACAGAATAACAATTATTAAAACAAAAATATAATAAACAAATAATAAAATTTTATTAACCTTGAACTAAGCATTACTGAATTTTAAAGTTAAATACTTAAAATTTTTATCAAAATACTACATATACACAATTCTGATTATTATAATATAAAATGCATATATGTTTTTTTTTTTAATAACTAGAAACAATGTAAATAAATCTAAAATTTTACAATATTGATAATTTAAAGTAATTATCAATTTTATCATCTTTAATATTATCTTTTAACATATTAAATTAATTTAACTTTTAATTACAGAAAACAGAAGTGATTAATAATTAAGATAAATCTTACATTCGAGTGATTTGCACTGGTAATGTCAACAGCAAATGAGGAATTTGTAACAATATCATCAGAATAAACTTGACTTCAAAGATTCAGTTTATATAATAAGACAAATATTTTGAAAACTCAAAATAAAATTTATGAAATTTCAATATTTTCTTAATATGCATAAGCTGGTTTATACAAAAATTTATCTGCTAGAAAAATATGTAAAAAGTTAGATTTGAAAATTTAAATTTTTTGCCGTATTTCCTTGATAGAATGAGGATTTTTAAAAATTGTTACATAAAATTATCTAAAAAAAATTCAATTTTTTAAAAATTTCTAAGATGCAATTTGTTTAAAACCGATTTTGATTTATCTGAAATAAATATGTATCTTATATTCACTGTCAAAAACAACAATCAGCAATCATTGGGAGTAGATCACATGGTGCATAACAAAGACAAATAATAAACATTTTTGGCCATCTGATCAAAATTCACATCAATTCAAATGTGTTTTGCAAGTAACAAGCATTTAAATTAAACTCCTTTTTTAACATTTAAAATATCTTTGAAATAGCATTATGTTGCATCATTAAAAAACAGTTATTGTATATACAGTTTTTACTTTTAATTAATTTGCTTTCATTGCATTTGGAAGGCAATCATCCTTTATTCATAAGGTGTTAAAGAATGTAAAAATAAACATAAACTATTTAAATGTATGAAATAAGTAATCTAACTCGTTATTTATAAAAAATAATTATTTAAAAATTTCCTCTTCATAAAAATATTTTAAAATTTGATTTCAAAATTTTGGTTTATCTTAAAATAAATGCAACTTATAAGGGAGATTAGGCAACTGAAAAGTCAGAAAAATCTGAAACATTGTGTGCAAGCAGAGTAATTCTTTCACAACACAATTATTTTTCATTCATTCCATATCATGGTTTGAGAAGAATGAAATAACTCCTTAAACGTATTGATTTGTTTTTGCAGAATTAATGAGATATTGAAAAAATATATGTATAAGAAAATTGCATCTCTTTTTTATGACTATAAAGCTGAATATAATTATGAAAAAAATTCATGTTTTTTGAGTTGCCCCACCACCAACTCCCAAAACAGTTTTTGTACTTTGTTAATTTATGAGATTTATATGTACTTTGTATTGTAAATATATGTATGCATGGTAAATACTTCTCCATAACTTCTTTTAACACAGTAAAATACACATATTACTTGAATATTATTTTATTAGACTAATTTGTCAACTGCACAATAAATAAGATATTGTATAAAATTCTATTTAAAAGAGTTGTGGTGGGACAACTCAAAAAACATGAATTTTTGATATTTACCTATACACAGCTAAGTAGAAAAAAAAACGAAACTTTTGTCTAAATCTTTTCTTTATATCATTCACAATCAATAGTTATTAAGAAAAACTTTTTGAAGGAATGATTTTATCCCCTCAAATTACAATATAGCATAATAGTTTTGTGTTATGGATGAACTACTCCACTTGCACACAAAGTTTCAGATTATTTTGAATGTCCAAGTTGCCTAACCTCTCCTGTTCATATCAAAGAAATACTTATTAAAAAATTTGCAAGAATATTTCATTATTGGATGAGAATATAAATACATGTACAGTGGAACCTCGGTATACGACCTTAATCCGTTCCTGATGTTTGGACTTATACCGAACCAACCTTTCCCATAAGAAGTAATGTAAAAATGATTAATCCGTTCTCATGTTAAAAAAAAAATGGCTGGCTTGAAACACCTCGCTTTCCTGGCTAGTTCCTGCTTGATTTTTCATGAGATCAGCATGTATCTTTTTAGCTTTCGCGCAACTAAATGGTTGTGATACGCTGTCTCTAGCACACTGTTTTTCAGCTATCCAAAGCAAAAGCAATTTCTCAACATGATCTAATGTCTTCGATCTCTGTTTAGAAATTGATTTAACCCCTTTCGCAACGTTAGCAGATTTAACAATGTCTTCATTTTTCACGATTGTCAATATCGTCGTTTTCGGAATACGGTATGCAACAGTTAAAATCTCGAACACTCATGCCACCTTCGTATTTCTCAAAATCTTTTTTTTCAGTTCCATTGTGATTCTAGTCATTTTTTTACTTTTCTGTTTCTTTTCATTTGCCTTTTTGCAATTCATGATTAATAAAAATAATAAAATTTTACTTACAAATTAAAATCAGAAGAAATTTAACAAAGTTATAAACTGTGGCACCGCAAACGTCTAGTCTGGTCTAATCTAGTACACCGATAGTGCTACTTGTTCATAGATGGCGCGTATAATTGAATTAAGTCGTATACCGAACAAAATTTGTTTCGTCCAAACAGGACGTATTCCGAATTTGACGTATTCTAAAGCAGACGTATACCGAGGTACCACTATATTTGTTAATAAATTAAAAATAATTATTAGCAAATCACAATAAATATAACAAATAAAATATACCTACTTGTTATCATTATTACTTATATTACTGTTAAATCCCTTATCTGCACTGCCAGAACTATTTGTTTTGCTACGATAAGATGACATAAAAGGAGTCATGTCTAGGCACTGGGGAAAGGAAATAAAGCTTGAAATCTTTTTGTGGAAACGACTGGAGTGTTCAAATCGCTAAAAAAACAATGAATATAATTAATTAACTGAAAAAGATTCTAAAGGAAAAACAATGTAAGTACTTTTTTCCAATGTAAGAAATGTAAGAAATTTTACAATGTAAGAAATAATAATTCAGTGAGTGTATTTTTCTTTAAAACAAAAATTATCAATTATAGTTTCAGTTTGTTATACAGATTTCCCAACAAATTTAAACAACATTAATTTAAAACTATAAATTAAAACAAAAACAAACAGAACATATACAGTAAATTACTTTACAAAAAATTCAATATAAAACATCGCTTTAATAACAAAGAAATAACGGATGGTTATGATTAGTATTGAATGTTTAATAAAAACATTATTTATAACAATTTGAAAAGGCCAAAAGGTTGTTACTGGCATAAACAACAGGCATGAATAAAATAAATTATTTCTATTTTCAGTTATGATTAAATATACAGTATTAATAGTGTAACTTAATGATCAAATCTACTTAAATTAATTAATTTAAGCTTAAAAATCAAATTAAACAAATTACTTCCTGAACTGATAACTTTTTAAAAACTTTCAAACTGAACTTGGAGGATGTGATTTCCAAAACAAACATCACAACATGCACATTACAGAATATATTGATACACTAAAACAAAATCTCACAGCCAAAGTAGGTAGACTCAAATGATACAAAACATGTTTGCTACAAAAACAACAAAATAAATTATTTACAAACAATGAAAGCTCTTTTACAGACAAATTAGTATCAAAACAACCACTGATACACAGCACAGTGCCACACCAAAAGAACAACTCACAACCTATTGGTTTCTCTTTGGACCACTGCTGTCACACACAATTCTGATGCAGGATAAATCAAGGAGGAGAACAAAAACTTGTACAACATACCAACTATGCTCTATGCTGAAGTAAACACACATGACTTCCAATACAGTTTTAACAGAACACACCTGATGTAGACAACATTCACAATTTCTGGTACAAAAAATTTACATCACCAGGAACTAACTGAACAACTAATACATCATCATCAATCCACAAGACATGCCAAATTTCTTACTCAGGGCATCATCTACATGAAACTTAAAAACAACAATACCACAGACTCCACACAACACAGACCAATTACATGTCTTCCAACAGTCTACAAGTTATTGACATCCTGTATTGAAAACAAAATATACAAATTGTTTAACTACCTAAAAGGGATGGTGGACTAATAAACAAAAAATTGTTATGTCCTTCTAATCTGACTGTTCACCAGAGTTCAAGAATTACCCAGAAGTAATTCTGGTGAACAGTCAGATTAGAAGGACATAATAATTTTTTGTTTATTTTAGTCCACAAACCCCTTTTAGGTGGTTAGGTAAACAATCAATTAAGCTGACTAATATTGCCAAATTTATCTAAAATATACAAACATGCCAATGAACACAACTTTACAGAACAACAAAAAGATTATACATCTACAACAGCTGTAAATGATCAGGCTATATTTTGGATAAATAATTATAAATTAGAAATGAATTTGGCACTAGAGTGAGGCATTAGGCACCATCTCTTATTAAAATTAATAATTAATATTTAAGATTTCAATATTCCGAAAGCAACGTTCAAATATTTGTGTATTTATTACGTCATCAAGACGATAACAGCAGCGAGTCACTNCCCTGGTTTAATTGATCTTGTTTATTATGATAGTCTTTTATTACTTATAAAACATAGAAGACAGCAAAATAATATAAAAATATATGTGATTATAAAAGAAAGAATAGACTACAAATTATTTACCCTTCGCTATCTAGAACATCTTGAACACTAGCCCGAGTTATTAAGTGGTCATCACATTTGAACCATTGATCCCTGTGTTGTCGAATGTATGCAGTATAATGCCCTGTTTCTATGGTACCACTATGATTAACAACTGCAAATAGGCAATACCTGTCAAAATTGATATGTTGAAAATTAATGACAACATTAAACAGTTTTTAAATAAATATAAATTCATTAACATAACATTAATTTTATATATATAATTTCATTACAGAATTTGATATACTATTGCTATCAATAAAAATTTATACAAATGCAATTATATTGAAAATTTCAGTTCTTTTCTGTTAATGGGACACCAGTTGTAACTTTAATCCGATATGCAATATTATTGTCCACTAAGAATATCATGTTTAACTATTTAGCCCACTCAACTGTGCCATACTTGATGTTATATGTTTTACAGGGCTTGCCCTCACCTGGGAGCTAAAGTGCAAGTTATAGCAAGCACTGAAGTGTATGCCTACATGCAAAGCATGAAGAATAGGCAGTGTAATGATACATGTTAAAAACTGACCTTTGGAGGCAAATATCTCATGAAGGGTCAACAATTCTGGGATGGTGTAAAATCCCTCATTCAGAACTAGAATCTTACCTGTTGCTGTACGGCTAGCATCCCATTAACAAAAAAGTACCAAAATTTCTCTTCTAGTGAGAAATTTTATAATTAAAAATGATTTTATTTTTAAAACATCCTGACTGATGAAAAATATCACAATGAAGAACATTACATACTGGGTTAAATAAATATTTCTTTTAATGTAAACAAGGTTTGTTAAAACTTATATAAAAAAATATTACTTATGACTCAATTCAATATTTCTGAGTTATAGAATATAATAATATGAATGTGTTGCAATTCTTTGAAAATATATAAATCAGGTTTGTGAGTCAATTTATATATATATATATATATATAGATATACGTATTATACTCTGTAACACTACTAAACTAGAGCCTTATACCTCATTCGCCTTGGGGTGACCTCTCTCGACCGTTTCAATCTCAACTGAAACGAGGTTCAATCACGATCAACTTGAGAGAGTTCTTGAACTAGATCCAGTCATAAGAGAGATGTCACAATCCCACGCACGCGAGAAAATACAAGATGGCTGCAGAACACGTGTCGGGCTATCGACAGCAAAATAAAAAAGATATTGTATTTCGAAAGACGATGGCATCTGTCTATTATTAGATATATCGCAAGAAAAAGTATTGTATTTATTTCTAACCAAAACTTCCATTTTGTTTGTCGGTGTTCATGACTTACCGCCTAGTTATTTCAGTTTTATCGTCGTGTGTAACATCTGGGTTCTTCTCAAGTTGACTGCCTGTGCACAGTCAACTTGAGAAAAAAATTATTAAGGAAAAATTTTCTGTTAACAAACCCTTTGTTAAATATTTTGAATATCATCACTGAGTACACCTAGATGATGGGAAATCACATAGCAATGCATGGTCGGAAATGCTTTCCTGGAACTTGTTGCACGCATCATGGCAGCTGCTGGGGAAGTCCTGGACACGCCCAGTATTTTCGACCATGCGCCAGAGATGTGAGGCCTGCATCATGGCCCGGGGTTGTAATTTTGAACACCTTATTTGATTTTTGCTGTACTAAGAATAATAAACATGTTTTCTCACCCTGTTCGTGTCCTTCCTTTCTTGTGTTTTGTGTCATCACTACTGTGCCAGGAAAGTGTTTCTGACCATGCATTGTTGTGATTTCCCATTGTCTAGGTGTACTCTATCTCTCCTAAAAAATTGTAATCACTGTACTGATACACCCTGTATATATGTATCCTTAAAAAGAGTTTTGTTTTCAATAATAAAACTAATACGTTAATTTATATAATTTGCATATTTTATGTAAATTTTATCCCATTTATGCCCACTGGCATTGCTAGACTTATTAATAATTATTGATAATAATAATTTTACTTAAATAGTTATTATTTTCATGTTTAGTGACACAAAGTATTATATAACTTGTAATAGTGTATAGTATAGTAAACAGTAATCTATACAGTAATAGAGGGCAAACTGCTTAAGAAAATATTTATAAACTTTCAGCTATAAATGAAAATTTTTTTACTTTATTTTTATTATTATTTTTTTAACATAATTTTTAAAAAACTTTTCTTTTTTTTGAAAGTTTCAAAAAAAAAGTTTTTTTTTAAATTAATCAAGATTAGTTTCAAAAGAATCAAAATATAATATATTAATTAATATTTGGTCAATTGTTAGAATAGAATTAATAATTAATCAAATGTTCTAATTGAAACAAAATTATTACAGATGAAACCCAGAAAAGAATAACAATTCTACCTGAATTTATCACTAGTTATCAAAAGGTATTCTTTCGTCAAGTGTTTCCAGGAAGACTTTTGCAAGAAATTGATCAAAAAAATGCTAATGAGATTCTTGTTAGATCAACTCCACATAATGTAAGTTATGTTCTGAATATTTAATTCTTAAAAAATTATATTTTTTAATAAGTTTTTTTAAGAAATATGAAAAATATAAGTTAATTTTTTAAGAAGAAGGAAATTTTACAAGAGATAACTTTCAAGTGATTTAGTTCTTTTTAGATGTACAGTACATTATCTTTGCTAGGGATAAGATATATATTTGCTATTTATCAGGATTCAGGTTACTGATATTTTCATTTAAAATGCTATAAAAACTACAGTATATACTAGCAATTGCATTTTTCTGTATTATGGATGCTTACAAACCCCATTTATATGTTTCTCAGTTGTATGTTTTTCACAAAATATTTAAATATTTTCTGTATGGTATATTCTTCATTATAAATCACTTAAGCTGTACATTCTTCATTTATACAATTTTATACTTATATACTGTGTTTTTTGGTATCCTCCAGCTTTTATTTTCTTACTTATGCATTATTTGCTTCAAATGGAAAAATTTTAAGTGAAAAAGCAAATTATGTATTCATTTTAGGTGATCACAATGATAGTGAATCACCAGCAAATGCAAAAAACAGTGACTAACTAATAAGTAATATGATGCCATTTATGACATATTTTCTCATTTAGCAAATCACTCTGCTAGTCCAGCACAATGAAAATTTTCACTTTCTGCATTCTATAGTGTGATCCAATTTTGATAAGTGAATAAAAATCACTTTCTAGTTTCTAAT